ATATTCATTAATAAATGATTTTTAAATATATTAGGTAGATTTAGGATTTTTGTAATCGGGTGTCTGTGTATGCCGACGTCTGTACACAGTAGTGGGCATAACTCAGCAATTACTGAAAAATCTAATGTCTGTTCCAAGTGATCAAGGCTTAATGACAAAATAAAGAATGTGACCACAGTTGCGTAAGCCCGTAATTAACTAGTTAAATCGATGGGATATACGCCTGTATGCATTTAAGTCAAGCTGAGAAACTCCGGACGGTTTGTTAAACTAAGAGACATTAACGTTTAATAGCCCAAGGCAACGCATCGCTACGATCGCACGTCTTATATGTATTTAGGGCACTGATTGACAACTCATATTATCGAATCAGAGATCTGGCATTCCGTTCATGTCTTAGCTTGTTATAATTAAGAGAATAATATGACTAATTTTGGCAGAATTTACATTTAAAATAGACGTCTACCTCAAAGCCTTATTTTTTATCTACAGACTTTTGTGCTAAAACTAGTTTATCTAGAGTTGATATGGATTTGCTTTCAAGTCACTTATTTCCGAGGTTCAAACTATAATCTTGCCCTATGGTAATCATTTCCAATTGAATTATTAATTTCCCAAGTTTTGGTTCGGTATTTTCATCAGCGTCGAGATCTGGATATATGTCTCCTTGAAGAAGCAAAAATTTGCCAAAACAAGGTTAGTACATTTCCATACTACCCAACTAAACGCCTTTCTATCCTGGCCCTCTTTACATTAGCTCAAAAGTAACAATCGTGTTTATATAACTAATCAAATTATAAATAGATAAGGGCCTTTATTCACGGTTTGAGGCGCACAGGTCATAATTGGGCTCATTATGACTTTCATTTTCTTGGTGAAAGGTTATTTCGCACCAACTCTCTTTTGTCATGTAGTAGGATATTGCCAACTGAATTGACATATTTTGGTATCAAAACATCACGCTTTGAATAAGTAAGTAAGCAAATCAAGGTTCAAATTGCTTAACCAAAAATAAAAATAATCAAAGATGAAAAAGTTTGATCACAAACAT